TTATCACTATTGCACTTCATCATTCTTTAAAAAAAAAAAATCTATGGCTCACGCCTGTAATCCTAGCTCTTGGGAGGCTGAGGCGGGCGGATTGCTCAACGTCAGGAGTTCAAAACCAGCCTGAGCAAGAGCGAGACCGCCCAGGAGTTTGAGGTTGCTGTGAGCTAGGCTGACGCCACGGCACTCACTCTAGCCTGGGCAACAGAGCAAGAGTCTGTCTCAAAAAAAAAAAAAGGGGGGGGGGGAGAAAAATAAATAAATAAATAAATAACCTGATTTGAGGTATCAGTCACTAACCCTTTTATTCCAAGTCATGTAAAAGGGAACCAACATTTCTTTTAAAGGCATGATTTAAGGTGAAAAAAATTTAAAGAGGCTATTTGCTGTCTTTGTGACATACTTATCACAACAGTTTAAAACTTACATGTAGTAATGTAGGCCAAGGGCTTCTCTATATATTGGTCCCCATATTGACTATTTTCATTGTACTTCATCCTTAGACTAAACAACCAAGGGCTTCAAATATAATGAAGACAATGAGATAATTGAAGGTATTTTAGATCTTTAAAATGGAAAAAAAAATAGAAATACAACTATTTTTTACATATTTCAATGAATATACAAACCTGTGGTTTCTGCAGTGAGAGAGCTAGCCTAGAAACACCTGGATTTGGTAAAAGTGTTTCCTTGTAGTAATGGAAAAATCATATACTGGGAGACTGTGAGGCCTAAGTGAGGCGAGCTTTAAAGTACAAATTTCAACTTCACCCCTGATCGACTTTATGAATTTATGCCAGTCACTTATTCTGAGATTTAAGTCTCCTCACCTGAAAATTAGAATAATAATACCTTGTAGAATAGTGGTAAAGCAGTGATAATATATAATTATAATGTCAACCTAAACTGACATCTCAAAAAATATCATCAAGTAATATATAACGCACTTAATTTATAAATTTCTTTCCTCTTTTCTGTTCAGAATACCTACTCTCTCTGTAGCTCTCACAGGAAAAGGCCCTAATTACAGGATTCAGATAGGTATAAACTGAGAATACTTTTAGAATAATTTCTCAATTCCAATACTGTGACATCACCAAAACTAAAAAAGCAGCACCTCTAAAGCAGACATTCTCCCCTAGAAACATTGTTTTCTCACAAAAAACATTAAAGAAATTTAATATGAACAGAACATATGTTCCCAAGTTACAATTTACCAAAATCACAGGCTTAGCAAAATATTGTAAAAACCTAAATGATCATAGGCAATAAGACCTCAACAGTAAAAACTAGGTGCTATGAAAAAAATACACAATATACAAGGCAAACTGAGAAGTAATTAGAGCAGAAAACATTAGAGAAGCCCTAAATCTCATAGTTTAGCCATTTAAAATGTCAATAAGCCTGTTTCTTCTTCCTTGCAACATACTGACAATGATTGTAAGCAAATGTCAGTTGGCCTACTTTTGGAGGTTTGCTAGTGTTTAGACTGAGCAGACTGTGTGTGTGTGTTTGTGTGTGTACGTGTGTGATAAGATTTACTTGTTTAAGCAGAGTTAAAATTTTTTACCAAAAAAAGATTTTACAGCAAAATCTTCTGGAGAACTTAATCATAAATTCTGACTTTATGTAGCTGAAAAAAATCAGTTATTAGTTGAACATGATAAAAACTACATTCAACTTGTCTGAAAAAAATAAAGTAGGTAGTTTTACCTTAAGAAAAATACTGAACATGTAGTGTTAACATTTTGAGCTGCGCAATTGTGAATGCTTTGTGTTGTAGAACTAAAACTACTAGTACCTTTCAAGTAAGTACAATTTTTCTAATTTATAGGTAAGGAACCTGAAATAACATAGAAGAAATAAACCAAGTTGCTGCCCAGGATTTTGAGATGAGAGTCATAAATGTAGTCCATTGGCGCTTTGGGGAACTGTATATTCAAAAAGTCCTTCTATCACCAGAATAACCACACTGGGTTTTAAGAATTTGTCCTAAAATATCCATATATGGATAACGTTCAGGTGTTCAGGATACTGAACTCCTAAGGATAAAGAATAAAGTTGAACCTGTATTTCTAAGAAATAGTCCAAGGTCAAAATGATGTCTTTATCCATGAGGAATAAGAAAACAAGGCTAATGTAATTCCTAAGAATTATAAGCTCTGGTAGTATTAAAAAACAGCATCCTTTGGTCACTGATAATAGATAAACAACATGTTATAAGAAGTAGAGTTCTTTACAAGTGCCAAGATGTGCATGCCAAGGTAAAAAAAAATAATAACAATAATTTTTAATTAAAAAGAATAAAAAAAAAGTAGAGTTCTAGATTATTTCCTATGAAATACTGAATAAATTCATTAGGGGGCACCCCTCATCTGGCACATGTTACACAAAAGAATGCAAACATGAGAAATCAGTTCCTATTTTTCCAAAGAGCTAACATGATAGTAGGGGAAAGTCCACGAAGAAAGAGTAATGTCCTCCAAAATATATGAAAATCAGAGACTGACAAGGAAAGAATTACTTCTTTATGATGAATAAAGAAAATGTAAGAGAAAAAAGATAACAAAATGGAAAAATTTTAAATTAAACTTTCAAGAAAAGTCATGATTAATATTAGACACAGGGAAATACAAAAGGACTTTCTTATCATGAAACCTAATAAACAGCACAAATCAATAAGGAGTAAAGAATACAAACAGGCCGGGCGCAGTGGCTCACGCCTGTAATCCTAGCACTATGGGAGGCCGAGGTGTGCGGATTGCTCAAGCTTAGGAGTTCAAAACCAGCCTGAGCAAGAGCGAGACCCCATCTCTACTATAAATAGAAAGAAAACTAATTGGCCAATTAATATATATAGGAAAAATTAGCCAGGCATGGTGGTGCATGCCTGTAGTCCCAGCTATTCGGGAGGCTGGGACAGAAGGATTGCTTGAGCCCAAGAGTTTGAGGTTGCTGTAAGCTAGGCTGACGCCATGGCACTCACTCTAGCCTGGGCAACAAACAAAGCGAGACTCTGTCTCAAAAAAAAAAAAAAAAAAGAATACAAACAAATGTAACATTAATGAATATAAAGAGCAAAAATATGAGGATTTTCTACCCTCCCTAGTAATCAAGGAACAAAAAATTACATATGAGTAGGATTTTCTGCCATGCAGACATGAAATGATTGAGAAAATTCATAATAGCCAGTATAGGACAGAATAAAGAGAAAAGAAATTCTAATATATAGTTGTCGACATATCCTCTCAGAGAGGCAATTTTAAAACAGGTATCCAAATTTTAAATGCATAGATCCTTTGGCTGAACAATACACCATCTAAGAGTTATCCTAAAATAAATTCATTGTATGATTTTTGAAATGTTCATACATGGAAGTGTATGACAATATAACTTATTAATAGGGAAAAAATTGAAAACAATATAAATTGCCCATACAATGCAATGTTACATAATTTTTAGCAATAATCGAAAATTCATAAGTTTTGAAATGAAACAATGTTCACAGTATAAACTGTTATGGAAAAATGCACACACACCCAGACACACACCCTTATGCATCGGTGAAAACCTGTAATACATGTAAAGAACTTGAATCAGGCCTGGGACATAATAATATGAGCAGGTTTTATGCAAATGTGCATGGTTAATGGAAAAACATCTGGAAATATGTACCATATATTTTTTATATTTCTGGAGGGTCTTCCAGTGAGAATCGGAAAACCTGCTAGGCAAATTCTAAAAGAGCTGTAACACTACACTGGAAATATATACCACAAACTGTTTTTTGTTTTTTTTTAAGAGACAGAGTCTCACTCTGTTGCCCAGGCTAGAGTGAGTGCTATGGCATCAGCCTAGCTCACAGCAACCTCAATCTCCTGGGCTCAAGCGATCCTCCTGCCTCAGCCTCCCGAGTAGCTGGGACTACAGGCATGAGCCACCATGCCCGGCTAATTTTTTATATATATATCAGTTGGCCAATTAATTTCTTTCTATTTATAGTAGAGACGGGGTCTCGCTCTTGCTCAGGCTGGTTTTGAACTCCTGACCTTGAGCAATCCGCCCGCCTCAGCCTCCCAAGAGCTAGGATTACAGGCGTGAGCCACAGCGCCCGGCCTAAAAGAAGTCTTATAAGTAACATTTTTCCACTTCAGGATAACCTTTAAAAATACAATAGAATTAAAATATTTTAATATCTTCTTCTTAAAAAGATTTTAAAATATCCAAACATGATTAATATGATTGGCTTTTCACTGCACATGCAAAAACATTCTTGAGTGAACACAGAAAAGCAAATGAGAAAATATAACCTTTAGAAAGCTCAAAGTATTAAAGAACCCAAAATTTAGCCATCTAAATAACATATTTAACACAAAAACATGTTTGAATTTTTGAAATAAATATAAAGCATATATACTATTTAAATACATTAAGAAGTATTTCTCTATTAAAGTTGAGATGAAAAGTTAAAAGCCAAAAATTCCACTTTTGACAATAGCTGTAGATGCAAAGAGCAGTCATCTACAATAGAGATAATAGTGAAAACCAAGCTCTCCAAGGCAGTAAAGTATAACTGAGAAGAAGGGCAAAGGCATGAGAACAGAGACTTGAGGAATACCCACAGAAGAAAGCTAAGCCAGAAACATAACAAAGACAGCACAGTCAGCAAGGAAGGGATCTGGGAAGAAAGATGCCATGAAAACCAAGAAAGAAAAGGGCTTCAAGAAAGAGCCAGGAGAGGCAGTGTCTAAATTGAGATCAAAGAAGATGAAGATAAATCAAAACCACAGCAGAAAGTGAATGAACATATTGAATTGGTTAAGATTACCTATTTCCATCTCAACTGACAGAGTTAAGAGTTTATCTTGTGGAAAGGAAGGGAAGGGGAGTGGACACTGGGAGAAAAACAAACTTTAGTTATCATTCTTGCTGTCTGTAGTCCAAGACCAACAAAAGAGAAACTCTTTCTGAATGATTTGTTTTTGCTTAAGGGGTACACTCACCAAAATGTGGAGCAGGCAAGATTCTAGCTGCTCGAATTGGGCCATGTCGTACAGAGAAGAGCTCCTGTGCTTCCCCACTGATCTGCATAAGAGAAGACAGAAAAAAAGCCAGTAAATGAAAATGCAGGTCACATCATTATTATATGAAAATAAGATCTCCTGAATTTTATAATTTTTTGTCTAAAACATATATATACACGTACACATATACAGATAGACCCACACACATTTATGGTTGATCTTGCACTTTAAATATACTCATACCTTAAATTACCACAAGCAATTTTAGAAAATTATAAGAGTACACAATTAATACAAACAAAAAAAGGTCTGTTCTAGAAGTCTATAATTTTTATCTTTTTAAACTATTAGAAATCTGTGCAGTTTATGCACAACTGCCTTCCATTTCATAGCAAAGCAACCATGATACTATTCAAAAAGCTCAACTTGAATATTGTAGCAACTTTAACAAATATGTTGTCAATGCAAAAAAGCAATATATACTGCAAAGAAAACATAATTGAAATGTGAATAACTTAGCTAGCAGTTATGGTTCTGAAACTCATTAACTGTTAACCTTGAATAAATCATTTAACCTCAATAAGCCTATATTCTTTGACAATTAAAAAAATGAGAAGGAAAAGCTGCCAAAAAGACCTCCAGAATACTTTTAATTTCAATCCTCTATGAACAAGTTACATGCAAGCAACATTAAAAGTTATTTTTATTATACACATAGATCAAACACTGCATGAAAGTACGTTAACTTTGAGTCATATCAGACTTACTCCTAAGATATAAAGAGTACAGTATACTACCCATCTGAAGGGTAAAAGAGGTGTGCTAATATGTGTAAAGTGTGAAAACGACTGCTTTTCAAATGTTAAGTGAAGTACTGAACAGATTAAACTAGAATTAGTCAAGAATGGCTTCCCAGACTTACTATATGTGGTACTACTGTAGTTGTCAATACATTTTCATAATTGCTTTGTGTTTGATGGAATATATGACAGAGAAAATGGCAAACATTATAAAACTAGTTCTAAATACCCAAGAACATACAACATATGTAATAAAGATAAATATTCAATAGAGGAAACATACTGAAGACATTTTTTTAAATAGGCACATCAAACAGGCAGTTTAAAATATAAAAAACATATACATTGTAAAAGGCTTATAAATATTACAATATTAAACTATAAATCTACAGAGCTGCCTTTTAGAGTAATTACCTTTTTAGATTTTCAGTTGGGCTTCTATCTGAACTTAAGAGCTAAAAACTATAAATATTTTTGTTTCTTATAAATGTTAAATTATGGCAATGCCTAAAGAGCCATCACATTCATTTTGCTTAAGATAATTACCACAACTTATTTAATGGCTGCAGTGACAAATCCTTCTGTAACACTTGGGATGCAGAAGATGTGAGGAATGCTAGAACTAACTGTGCAACAATAGCACCACCTACCACCAATGAAACACACAAAAGCTATAAATTCAGTATAGCACACTGTAAGAACTTACATGCTCTGCAAATTCCTTTGTAACCTTTAATTTTTTTTTTTTTTTGAGACAGAGTCTCACTTTGTTATCCTGGTTAGAGTGCCACGGCGTCAGCCTAGCTCACAGCAACCTCAAACTCCTGGGCTCGGGTGATCCTTCTGCCTCAGCCTCCTGAATAGCTGGGACTACAGTCATGCGCCACCATGCCCGGCTAATTTTTTCTATATATTTTTAGTTGGCCAATTAATTTCTTTCTATTTTTAGTAGAGACGGGATCTCGCTCTTGCTCAGACTGGTTTCGAACTCCTGACCTTGAGTGACCTGCCTGCCTCAGCCTCCCAGAGCGCTAGGATTACAGGCATAAGCCATTGTGTCAGGCCTGTAACCTTTAATTTTAAAAATGAACACCATAGCCATTATAGTCTACATTTGATTATAACAGAACTGAATTTAAAATTTAGAAAAAGCCATAAAAGTTTACTTTGTTCAAACTCCCACCCAATGCAATAATCATACAGTCTCTAAAATCTAAAAATTACAATCTCTTTGATTTTAAGCACACATATGGTAAAAGATGTAACACTAATGTAGTCTCATTATATTACAGGTGGTTTATTGGATATTTCACCTACCTAACATTATAAATTTTAATAGCCAAGAGAATAAAAACACTGCCAAGTCATTTACATTTTGACAATAAATTATGCAACACATAAATAACACTCTTTTCCAACATACTTGCTATTTCTATTAATAATAAGATTAAAAATAAGCTTTAAAATAATATTATAGAACTTACATTGAAATTATTATTCAGAGTAATGAAAAATACTTTTCACCTATAAGGTTTACACTTATAACAAATTATAGTATTCTGACACAAAATCTACTGCTCTATATTATTATTTCTACATGCCAGAGGTCTAGCACTTAGCTTTTGGTTCTCTCAAAGCCTTAAAGTTAAAAAAGGATAATGATATTTAACTGAGTTGTTGTATACAATTATACTAAAAAATAAAACAAAACTGTCTTAGGCCAGGCTTGGTGGCTCATGCCTGTAATCCTAGCACTCTGGGAGAGCTGAGGCAGGAGGATCGCTCAAGGTAAGGAGTTCCAGACCAGCCTGAGCAAGAGCAAGACCCTGTCTCCACTAAAACTAGAACGAAATTAATTGGCCAACTAAAATTATATAGAAAAAATTAGCCGGGCATGGTGGCTACATGCCTGTAGTCCCAGCTACTCGGGAGGCTGAGGCAGAAGGATTCCCTGAGCCCAGGAGTTTGTGGTTGCTGTGAGCTAGGCTGATGCCACAGCGCTCTAGTATAGGCAACAGAGTGAGACTCTGTCTCCAAAAAAAAAAAAAAAAACCAAATCTGTCTTGGCATACTCACTATATGATAAAGATTTACCACTGTATTTAATATGCAAGAGCTTACTTTGATATAGAAAAACATTTTGAAATCTGAACACACCATGCTTTGCAGCAAAAACAAACCTAAATGTATGTTATCCTAAGCTTCTATTCTAAATCCCTCTTTATATGTAAAGTAACAGGTGAGAAAAAACATTAGGACTGATTATAAAATGCACCCACATTCATTGCCCATTCTTCACTACCTCTAAGTTAAGGTTCTAGAATCTTTGTTTAATTATAACAGGGGAGAGGGGGGAAAGTATTATGTTTCATTTATAGATATTTGTAAATATATTAAAATCATAATTGTGCAACCTACTGAAATTAGAAGCATAATTCTAAACTATCAGCCCTTTCCCTCAACCCTGGATCCCCACCAGAGCCCACCCCATAAAATAAAATAAAATATTCTCAACTATCCTATGTGAGTCTCAAATGGCAAACTTCCTAGAGGACAGAACTCCCTAAATGGGATGTGCAAACTTTACATTAGAATACCACTGCAGAACATAAACAGTACTAAAAAAGTGTATACAGACAGGATGTGTACATTTTAGAAAGGACAGAGGATGGACATGACATGTCCTTACACACTGCTTTAGTTATTATGAATTGCCTCTAATAATTTTATAAAGTATGTTCAATTTTGCTTTAAAATAAATGAGTGTCAAAACTGATTTTTTAAAAGTCAACACATTTTCTCAAAAGTGAATCTTAGGTTTCTTAAGAAGAGTTCATTGAATGAAAATGGCAAAGAATCTCAGAGATAAGGATTTTATAAGATCCTGAAAAGAATTATATGAAGTTGTAAATTCAGTTTTAAACCAACAACAACAATATATAAAAGAGCAGAACTACAAGGAAGGAGTGTACCAAGCAGTGTTCCAACTTCCTGGCAACTGTGTTAACTTGGGGAGAGGAGCAAACTGGGAGGAAACCTCTCCAAGAGTTCCTCATGATCTCTGCCTTTGTTCTTACTGGCATTTTAATTTCTGATGACAGACTTTTGTTGTTTGGGACATAAACCGGACGTACCAGTTTGGGTGCACAATAAAGAGAACAAAGAATGATTTGTTCACACTGTAAGAAAAAAAATCTTTTCTAACCATAGAAAATAGCTTTCGCATGGTGAAAATATGCAAATGACATACCAAACCAAAAAATGGGATGGGGGGAGTACAATTTTAGAATCTGACAACTCAATCTAAGGCAAAAGGAAATTACAACAGCCAAGACAATAATAAACACACAGAAAAGGCTATAAAACTTCTGGAAGGGCTTTTAGAATTCTCTGAAAGCAACTGAAGTTCAACTAGTCCTCAGAGCCAAACTTGTTTCTGAAATCCTGGTAACTTTCAATAGACTATCTGACTATAATATAGAAAATTCAACCAAATATCAAGGACAATAAAAAAATGCTCTACAATGCCACAGAATTAGGATAAGATTGCCTATTCAGATCTCTACCTTCCCCTGCAGACCACTAGTTAAATGGATATTTGTGGTCTGCAAATGATTTTTTAAGTAAACTTCACTTTAAGATAACAAACACAGAAAAAGTATATAACTCATAAGTATCTGTATAGCTTAAGGAGTTTTCAATGTTAATATACCTCTGTACTGACAGACATCAAGAAACAATAGAGGCCGGGCCTAGTGGCTCAAGCCTATAATCCTAGCACTCGGGGAGGCCTAGGCAGGGGGATTGCTCAAGGTAAGGAGTTCGAGACTAGCCTGAGCAAGAGCAAGACCATCTCTACTAGAAAACAGAAAGAAATTAGCTGGACAACTAAAAATATATAGAAAAAATTAGCCGGGCATGGTGGCGCATGCCTATAGTCCCAGCTACTTGGGAGGCTGAGGCAGAAGGACTCCTTGAACCCAGGAGTTTGAGGTTGCTGTGAGCTAGGCTGATGCCAAGGCACTCTAGCTCGAGCAACAGAGCCAGACTCTGTCTCAAAAAAAAAAAAAAAGAAAGAAAGAAAGAAAAGAAAAAGAAACAATACAATGGATACTCACAAGGTCCTGCCATGTCCCTTCCCAGGCATAACTCCAAATCAAGAATGACCATGACCACAATCCTGATTTGTAAAACCTTACATAAGCTCTTGTTCATCTTAATGTAAATGGGTTCACACAGTATATACTCTTGTGAATGGCTT